TCACCCATCTGCCATACTCAGACGCCATGCTCACTCAGTAGCCTTCTGAGAGGAGAAGCCCCTGACAAGCTAGGCAGAGCCTTCCAGATGGGCCTCCCCACAGCCACCCTGGCCACTGGCAATTTCGAGATAACACTGTGGCTTACATAACTGCCTATGAATCTAGTTAGTCTGATGGAGTCCCCTCTTCTCCTGTTAGCCTGCATTCTGGCCACAGATTCAAAATCATTTCCAAACTTGAACATCATAAGGATTATGTTTGGGTCTTTTTTTTCTGCTTTTTACTACAACCCTCTTTCACTACACAATTAAAAAAAAAAATTCTAAGCCATGTTGACCTCACCAAGGCATAAAAAAGTTCTCACTGTCTGAGCATGCCTGTTACCTCTCCTCCCACAGGCCATTCACCTGAATCCACTTAAAATGACAACCAAAATTTCATAATAGTGAGCAAACTAAGGTCTGAGATGTCACCTTGAAATATAAATGTTAAGATTATGAAAAAATAATTTTTTACTCTAAAATATTTACTTAAAATTACTTTACACAATATTAAGTCATAACCACATGTCATTTCTAGGCAGCAAATGGCACTGCTTTGGTATTGCTCTGCCATCATAAGCTCATAGTAGCAGGACTTTTCCAACAGTCCACATTGCCAACTCTGGCTTGTACAGCATGAGCATTAGTAAGGCCATTTTTTGCAAAAACACATGAAGCCTCCATTTTCCCAAAGACCCCCGCACCCTGTGGCCTGTCCAATGTTGCAATCCTCCCTCCCAGAGAATCTGCCCCACACCCGCACTCTGCCTCAGCAGCTGCTTCTCCAAGTGCCAGAGGTCCTGACTTTGCCCATCCTTGTTTACCAGTGACTGAGCACCACTGTTCTCAACTTCATCACAGCCGGCATCCTGTGCTAAATGCTCAATTTCACTTTGCAGAGAGGCACGCCACAGGGCAACGGGCAGAACGAGTGCTGCTATTGAATGAGAGGAGGGCTGGCACGGGAACTGAGTTTTCAGAGTTCCGTGCAGCAGCAAATGTGCATGGTGTGGCTGTGTCTGTTTCCCTCCATGACCTTGTACCTTTGGGTCCCAGAGGACAAACACTCGGAAAACAAGGCCCATGTGTGGCCCATCAGCTTTGAGGTGGATCTGGCAGTAACCTCTCCTGTGGCCCCGCCATGTTCCCAGGAAGAGCTCCCAGGGGAGAAGCCGCAAGAGTAACATGGCCATGGCCTGTGGTGGGCCCTGCTGGGCTTTCCCCTGTGCCTTGTGCCCTTGCCCTCAGTCTGAGAATATGCTGGGCAGTCCCATTCACTCGACCTCAGGTAGTGCCAAGATAGGCAGAACCTCAGAGGGACAGGAGGGATCCTGAATGTAACACAAGGCTTTGACTCCACCAGAACAGAGCCAAGAGCATGCATGCACAGCTAGAAAGAACCCTGGCCAGGGCCCAAGGAACATGGCTGCCCACATCCTATGAATGACATCTGTCAGTTTCTCACAAACTTCAGATGAAAAATGGCATTTCTTTGAGAGAACAGAAGACATATAAAAGTAATATTGTCAAGGGAGCTGCAGCAGAGAGGATGCTGCATCAGAGAGGATGCTGCACATGCAGTCATGCACAAGGGGGCAAGCTTCGAGAGGCTGGACTGCCAAGTGAAGCCTGGGCAGGGCCCAGACTGCAGGTGTCTACCTGGGGCTGGGAGCCTTCCTTCATCCCACTGTGCTCTTCCAGAGCTCCACCAGGCACAGGGAGGATGGGGCAAAGGACCAGCCCACACCCCACCCTCCCCCACGCAGGACTTCTCTTTACCTTTAAACTGAGGAGGTTTGTGAAGCCGTTGAGACAGAGCAGGGCAAAGTAGCAAAGCTCTGCGGGCTCAGGAGATGAGGCACGTGAAAGTGACACACAACTGTCCACACACCTGCCCCAACTTCTAGGTCAGAAGCCCGGGTAGAGAGCGTATCTCACACTGTCCCCCCAGGTTCTCAAAAGTTGGAGAGTTCAACCAAAAAATGGAACAAGAACTAGAACCAAGGCAGCTGCAAAACAATACTCTTATCTCCCTGCCTTCACCACCACTCCTCTGGGAAGGCTTTACACTAATCCCTGTCCCTCTCACCTGCTGCTTCTTCCTTTTACTCAAGGATGGAAGCCACTGGCCATCTCACAAGGCCAGGCCACCAGGATGAAAACCTCCTCTCCAGTAAAGAATGAGCAGTGCTGGTGACCACATGGGCTACCAGGCAAAGGCCCTATTGGGTTTGGGTAATACTACTCAAGCACCCGCCACCATCCTCTCTTGAGGATCCGCTCTTTCCAGAAATGCCTGTTAGTGAGTCTGAGCAGCTTCAGATTCTTGAGGTCTCTTTCTACTGGCCAGGCCATGGGCTCTCCTATCTCAGTTCTTTCCCTCTCTACATCACATGTGAAGGACCTTCTGGTGGCCTTCCCCATCACTCTGGCCAGGGGCAAGTTCCAGACAGACCTATTTTCTGATACCCAAAGGTTATGTTTTCTGTAAGCCCAGGGGGAAATGATCATGCAGGCACCCCCCTCCTCTAACCACAGGCATGGTTCAGCGGCTCAGCCACTACTCTGCTTTCCCAGCCCCCCTCTCTTCCTTCTCAAACAGGGCAGTCTGCTAGGAGGATTCCAAGTAATAAACGAAGGAGAGGGTAGCCTGCTCTTCCAGACACATGGCAGGCAACCCTAGCAGGCTACTCCTCTAAGCAGAGATGGCAGAAAATGTACAGACCCAGGGTCACACAGGGGCACAGTACACACCACCCATAGAGGCCAGCAGGGAAGGGTGGCTAATGAAGAGAAACAAGGGACATTAACATGACATAACTGTAACAGCCCCTGCTTAGGTAAGTCACACTGCACAACTCCTGGCTGCCTCAGGACCCACTCTCACCCTATGCCACCTGGCCTCTGAGCTGAGTTCTAACAGGACACAGGAGTGGCAGGGGGATGGCAGGAGGGACCCTGAAAAAGGGGGAGCAGGCCAGAGCAGCTGCTCCCTGGAGGCCTGCTGAGAGTTTCAGGCTTAGTCCCTAATGTGCACAGGGGCCAGGCAGTGGCCTTCACAGGTTCCAAAGGGTTGGGAACTGAGCCAATTCGCTGGCACAGGCCCCCGACTGGTAGGCTGGGAAAGGCACAGAGGGGGCTGGCATGCATGAATGACCACCTCGGGCTACTTGAGCCATCTCCAGTAGAAGTGACAACAGTCTGCACCGGGATGAGGATGATAAGGTACAGGGCGCCTGGACAGGATCTGATGCAAGACCACACAGGAGACCCACAGGGGTGAGGGGAACAAGGTATGCACCCTTGGGCAGACAGCACCCATGTGTTGGCCGGCGCACTAACAGAGGACTGGCTTAGCAGCCAGGATCACGAGGTGTCTCCCTGAGCCAATCGCTGCCCTCAATCCTAGCAAAGCGCCTGGAAGGTAGTGGGCTCACTTCCTAATAAAATCAACAGCAAGGTGTAGACTGAGGCTAGCTAGAAATGTATGAGTGAGGAAACAGCTTCCAGGTAATCTGTAAAAGGACATGATGCCACATCGCCAAAAGGTCATGAAAGGAAAATGTGGGACTCTGGCTGTCTGGACCCAAAATTGCTGTACAGGCAAAGACCACGTGTCTATTTTCCTAGAGCTGAGACAGAGTCAATTCCAGTGACATGACAGACTAGAAACCTGAAGATCCCCCCATAACTGTTAAGGTACCATATCATCCATCAAGAAACTGCTCCCACCAGGTCTGCTCAGGAAGTTCTACAAGAACTGGAGGTAGGGAGAGGAGACTGGGCTCCCACATGGGGCTGAAGTGCCTGCTCAGGCTTCAGGGAATTTAATAAAGTAACAATTCTAACCCAAACCAGGCGAAACACGATGCAGAAAATGCAGCTATCACCCTCTATCACACACACTTTGAAGTAATACCAATTTAAGTGTTTTCCAAGAACATTTAGAATGACAAACAAACTACAAGAAAGAGTTACATTAGGAGTAATCCTAATTCTGGGACTTGTAGGACTCTCAAGTTTGTAACAACCCTAATATCCTGAAAAATACCCTTAGTGCCTTTCCATGCAGATGTGTAAGGAAAGTTTACAATTTAAGTCTTGAAATACTGACATAAAACCTCCTTACAAATATTTTGTTTCTATGTGTTCAGAAAAGCACAGAAAGGCAGAGGGGATGAGTAAGTAGAACTGGCACCTGAACAGCCTCACCTGGGCTTGCTCCAAATCTCCCCTCCCCATAAAAATTTTTACCAGCCCTTGCCCTCTGTAAGTGCACTAAATGGAAATAGAACTTCTCTAATCCCCTCTAGACTGATAAAGTTTTTCAAATGTAACAGCATCTAAAGAATAATGTGCTACAGATACTTTTATTTTCTTTGTTACTAAGTTTCAAAACAAAAACCCTGCAGATAATGCTTTTGTTATTTTTTGCACAAAATGAAATAACATGAAAGCCCCTCCCCAAAAGGTTAATTCTCAATTCACTGTTAGATAAATTGTATCGCTATCAAACCTAGTCATCTTAAAAAAGGTTTTTTTTTCAAAAGGAAAAAGTTACCATGTAACCAATATTTACATTCAAATTCATTTAAGCCCCTGGCAATACTAAAACCGCCTTAACGTTATTTACATAAAAAACCCCAGGGTCCGCTCTGACAAAGGGTCTCTAACGCGTCTCCAGCGGAGTGAAAAGGGGGAAGGATCCGCTCTCCCTTTCCAGTCTCCAGAGGCAGAAATGGAGACCATCTGCACACGTCGGATTCAGCAGCCCCTTTCCCGGCGGTTAGTTTTAGAATGCGGGCAGATCACTCGTTTACAACAGGAGTTTGAGCGTTTTGTTGTTTTAATAAAAATAAATAAAAACCTTAGAACAGAGTCGGCCCTCGGCCTCCGACCTCCGTCCTCGAGACAGCGCGGGGAGCCTGCCAGGGCCGCCGGCGCCCGCGCGCACTCACCCCTGGATGCCCGGACTGTACGGGCGGCTCTTCCACGGCGTGCCGGGCCGCGGCGCCTGGGGCCCGGGGCCGCCCCCTCCGCTCAGCGCGGCCGCGCGGCTGCCGGACAGCAGGTAGTTGAGGCCGTACGTGCTGGCCTTGTTCTCGCGCTTCCGGCGGCCCGGGTGGAACTGGTGCTGCGCAGGCGAACCGGCGGGCGCGGGGCCGCGCGGCCCCGGGTGCCCGTTGGCCGTGCCGGGGCTGCTCAGCGGGCCGTCGGCGAAGTGGAAGAAGGCGCCGCCGCGGCCGCCGCCCGCGCGGCCGAGCGAGGCGCTGCTGGAGGACGAGGACGAGCAGCCGGGGCTCTCGGTGCCCGACTCGGCGTTGGACGACGACGACGACGACGAGGACAGCGACGGCGACTTGTGCGGGCGCCGGGCGCTCTCGGCCGCGGGCCCGAGGGTCGTGCGCAGGGCCGGGGGCGGCGCGGCGGGCAGAGTGGGTCCCGCCAAGCCACCGCCCAGGCTGGCCGCCCCCGCCCCCGCCGCGGCCGCCGTGTCCAGCGCGGGCGAGTTGAGGCAGAAGTAGGACGCGAGGCCGGAGCCGCCGCGGCCCACGCCCTGCGAGGTCTCCCAGATCTGCATCCACAGGGCATTGGCCGGCCCCTTCTGCTCAGGCTGGATCCAGGCCACGCGCGGATCCATCCACGCGCCGCCCGCGGGCCCGCGCCCGCCGCGGCCCCGCCCCCGCCGCGCCCCGAGCCCCGGCGCGGCGCGCACGGACGGACTGACGGGCGGGCCTGCGCCGCGGGTCGGCCGGCTGGCGGGCGGCTCCCGTCGGGGTCCCGGGCGCGCCGCGGGGCTACGCGGGCAGGCCGCACGGGTGGTTCGGGCCTGTCGGGCCGGCTCACGCGGCGCGGGGCTGGCGAGGGGGCGGCGGTGGCGGCGTTCCACTCGGGCCAGGCAGAGAGGCCATCGGAGAGGGCGGCCGGCCGGCCGAGGGGGCGGGCCCAGGCGCCGCGCGCCCCGGGATCAGCGGGAGGGCCGCCGCCGAGCGCCGGGCCCCAGTCACGCTCGCGCCGCTCGCTCCGGGATCCTGCAGCGGCGGCGGCGGCGGCGGCGAAAAGACACACTCGGCGGCGACAGGACGCGGGGGAAGGAGGGGGCGCCGCCGCCTCCGCTCCAATGAGGGGCGGGGAGGGAGCGGGGCGGGGAGGAACCACGGCCTCCCTCGCCGGCGCTGGGACGCTAGTGCGCACGCGCGGCCGATTTCAAATCCTCACTAGACACCGCCGCCATGGTAACCGCGCCTGCGCACTAGGGCTCTCCTCGGGGTGCAGAGGGAGGACTCAGCGTCTCGTCGGGTGGATATGTGACTGCGACGGGCTGACAGGGTGGCCGCGGCGGCGTGTGTCCTAGACTAGACTTGGCTGTGGGGGCGAAAGAGAAGCGGGAAGGCCCGTGTGCCAACCGCGCCCTGCCTGCGTCCACCGGCCCCACGTCCCGCCGCCGCGTACAGGCCCAGGCGTGGAGAAATGCGCGCTGGGGCCCGGGACCCTGCAGCCTCCCGGCCGTCTTGCGCATGCGCAGAAGAGCGAGGCCGCCACCTCTGCCCAGTGGAAGTTTCCGCGCATTCGGTACCCGGGTCGCGGAAGCCTCCCGGGCCGTGTCAGCGGGACCCCGCACGCACTACGTTTGGGCAGTGCCAGACCGACCGCGCGCCGGCCGCCGCTCAGTGAAAAGGTAGAAATGCCCCATGTCCCAACCTATCATCCGGGGCCCGTATGCAAGTGTCACACTGCGGCCACTCATGTCCCCGCTGCCCACGTGCTTGCCGGCGCCGCGAAGGAGCAAGTTCCACGCCCGCCGAGCCGCAGCCGGGGAGCAGGGTCCGGGGACCCCTGGCAGACCCTTCTGGGCGAGTCTCCTTGCAGGCTTTTTGGTTTCCTTTTTAAATGAAGTTAAAACTTTGAAGCTGCTCACGATTTCCCGAGGCAAAGGGCCAAACAGCCCGCGAGCTGTCGTGTCGGCCTCACGGCCTTGACTGCTGGGGCTGCGGCGTTGGTGGCGCTGTCAGAGCTTCGCAGCCGTGGGTCCACCGAGAGTGCTGCGCCTCGGCTGTAAGGGTGCTGCGGCGAACCACCAGGTGCCCTGCGCGCCTAGACGGCGTGGGTTCAAGCACTCCCATAGCCGGCCTGCGAAGTGGAGCCCGACCGTGCGCCCCGACGACGGCTCTACGAAACCGGCCCTCTCTGCTCCCAAAGCTGATCGCCTCGTTCCTGTGGTGCCTGGATGCCTTTCTTTCTCAGCACGAGGGAATAAAGCCTTTTTAGCGGTGCGGTTTAAATGCTACCTTATCCATATCATAGGTGAGCACAGATCACTAAGCGCTTGACACTGGAATATCGTACCAGTATGGAATATCCGTGCATTGCATACTAAAGCTTTTTGGCAAATGGTGTCACTTAATAAAAATGAGTATTTCAGTTCAGGCATTTTTCAGTACCTGTCTATTGTACAAGTGGAAATTATGACCAAGCCTTAGAACATGTTCCTTAAATAAACTATGGAAAATCACACACCAGTCAAACAGTCCTTATTCTGGAACTGTTTTGCTTCCAGTGACTCAGGCCAGAATCCTTGGAGTCATCCCAGCCTCCTCTCCACAACCAATACATCCCCTTGGCCCCACTTGCAAGAAACATCCAAATCCCAAACGCATTCCTCCCTCTAAACCTCCACCTACACCCTCTTGAAGTCACCACTGTTTCTAGCCTATTTTAAAAGTTTCCCACGTTCCACTTTGGCCCTTTTAGCATTTTCTCCACACAGCAGCTTGAGTGATCCTTTAAAACAAAAAACCATTACTCTATTGAAAAAAATAAGATCATGCAACTCCTGCTCAAATCCCTTACTTCTCTCTCAGCCTAGCTGTGACCTGCGAGTGCCTACAGTGTCTGGTCCTTCCCCCTCTTCCTCCCGTCTCATTTCCCAGCTCTTCCCCTAACAAATACAGCAGGTGCAGTTCTGCCTCTGGGCCTTTGTACTTGCTATTCCTTCCCCTAGGATGCTCCTCCCTAGATTCTCCCATCGATCCCTCCCTCCCCACTTGCAGGTCTCACTAAGAACTTCCAAATGGCTCTATCTAAACTACAAACCCAACCCTCAACACTCCCTGCTTCCAGATGCTGCTTTATTTTTCTCTTAGCATTTATGTCCTTTAGTTTCCTAGGGCCACGTACAATACCACAAATCGGGTGACTTAAAAGAACAGAACTTTATTTTCTCATAGTTCTGGATGCTAAAAGTCCAAAATCAGTATGTTGGCAGTGCCATGGTCTCTCCCACGGCTCTAGAAGAGCATCTGCTCCGTGGCTTCCTCTTAGTCTCAGATGCTGACAGCAGTCCTTAGCATTCCTCTGCTTGTAAGCACATTAACTCCCATCTGCCTCCACCATGGCATGGAGTCCTCCCTGTGTCTGTCTCTCTACTCCTCTTGGTATAAAGATACCATTTGTAGTGGATTAGGGCCCATCCTAATGACCTCATCTCAACTTGATTATACCTGCAAAGACCCTATTTCCAAATAAAGTTACATTCTACCGGTACCCAGATTAGGACTTGAACATATTTTTGGGGGGTATTCAGTTCAACCCAGTACACCCTCTAGTATGATTTATCTGTTTACCATTTGTTGCACCTTACCACATTAGAAAACAAGTCCACAAGGAGAAGAATTACATCTGTGCTTTTCCCTGCTTAGTGGCAGCACATTGACTGTCTGTCATATGGCAGGTCCTCAGTGGGCATCGGTTCACAGACTGACCAATAGGAATGAAAGCAGCCATTCTCCCTGGCTGGCTTCCAGAATCTAGTACACAGGTTGTCACTGTTTACTTCTTTTCAAGGATTTAAGATTTCTTTTTTCCTTTTTCCCCCTAATACTCATTCTTTGCTGTTTGCTTCTAGCTAGCTAATCCCCCTTACTTTGGTTCATCCACCACCAGTTAACTGCTTGTAATTAGATCAGGGGTTTTGTTATGTATGTATTTGATCACAAATTTGTTTATCAAATTAGAAAAAATATATTTTTCTTTACACAGATTTCTTTATGTAGCACCATTACTAAGAGTAAAATGTAGTTGCTGAGGATCTGGGCAAGGGAGGTCTTTCTCATTGCTTATCAGTTTGCACAGATAAGCCCAGCATTTTCCCTTTTCGGCCAAAACCCACTCTTATCTCTCTCTCTGATATTAGAGGAGGAGGGTAATATTAGAGATCACATGTGGTTTTAGTGATTTGTTCTCCTGAGTAAATGATTTCCAGACTACCTATGCCAGGATCAGATGTGTGCTGGATCAAATGCAGGTTATCTGGGGTTCTATTAGAACTTCCTAGGAGCAAAGCACAGTGATCTATATTTTAAGTAAATTCCCTTGGCAATTCTTAAGCATAGTAAAATTTGAAAAAACCTCTGCCTATTCCCAGATTCCCAAACTCAATTGCTCCCAGGAACTGAATAGTAATGTAACTGAAAAGAAACAGGGTATGTGTGTATGAGTCAGCTACTTCTTGGTAACAAACCACTCCCAAACTCAGTGGCTTTAAATAAGTGTTTAGTATTACTCACAAGTGTACAAATGATTTGTACAGTTCTGCTGATCTGGGTCAGACACTAGTGATTGTGGCTTTCACATCACTTGTATTCTGCCATCAGCTGGCTGGGGAACTGAGGGCTGGTTGGTCTAGAGTGACCACACTCACATGGCTGGCAATTGGCAACTGCATCACCATGATTGATTGGCCCACACATGTTTCATTAGCCAGCAGGCTTGCCCCAGATTGTTCTCAGGATGGCTGAACAGGGTTTCAAGAAAATGAGGCGATATGCATGAGGTCAGAATTAGTATGCCTTCACTTTCTTGCCATTCTGTGAGCCCAAGCAAGTGACCAAGCCTTGACAAGATGTGTGGAGCAGAGGAATAGCCTCCACCTCTTGATGGAAGGAGCTGCAGTCTCATTGCAAAGGGCATGAGAGTCTGGGAGGGGGATTATGGGGCCCCAGCATGACATGAATGAGGAATGATAGGGATGGCGGGATCCTGGAGTGATCTGGAGCCAAAAGCCACTTTGTAAAGGGGGCAAAGCCACTCCTCTCTAGCAAGCACCCAAGGTGCCAGAGATGTCCTTTCTCGCCAATGCAGACATGAGCCTGAAGTCTCCTGCTTTGAAATGTCAACTCCTAGGCAAATGTTTCTGGTTGCCAACCCATCTACTTAGCTTCGTTGCCCTCACTGCTTTAGCTGTCAGAGCCCTAATTCTACCCAGGTGTATGCATGGACAGGTATGCAAACAGGGGCCACCTTTCTCAGACCAGAGGGCAAATCAGGACGAGTCTATATTGGTCCTGGAGGTCTCATTCTCCCTGCCAGTGCCTATGTCAGCATAGCAGGAACTCCACCTAGAGGACTGGAGTGTGGGACAGGCTGCTGGGACACTTTTGGAAAAGTCTTCACCACTGGACACTGTCATATCCATGTAGGATGGCCTGGCACCACTACAGCCATCGTGATACCAGAGGAGAGACATGACCAGCCCTCTGGGGGCCAGGCCGGATGACAGAAAGCAGATGCCCTCGACTGCCTTTCCAAGCAGCAGAAATAACCACACCACAGCCCCTCTCCAGACCCTTTGGTGTGAGAAGTGGTAGCCTCCCAGACAGGTTGCAGCATTTTCTGGACTGCATCACATCTCATTTGATGCAGCAAGCACCTTGATACAG